TCGGCCCCACGGGTACGCCGCCTGGCCCACCCGCCATTGGAAACCAAGGGGGGGGCCCTGAAACACATGACAGGGTTTTATCTGCCCTGCTGCCTTCCTTCTTCTTCTCCCCTAGGTCCGTGCCTTCCACCATGCCTTCAGCACCAACGACTGCTCGCGGAATGTCTACATCAAGAAGAATGGCTTCACACTGCACCGCAACCCCATCGCCCAGAGCACGGACGGGGCGCGGACCAAGATTGGCTTCAGTGAGGGCCGCCACGCCTGGGAGGTGTGGTGGGAAGGCCCGCTGGGCACCGTGGCCGTCATTGGCATCGCCACGAAGCGGGCGGCCATGCAGTGCCAGGGTTACGTGGCCCTGCTGGGGAGCGATGACCAGAGTTGGGGCTGGAACCTGGTGGACAATAACTTGCTGCATAATGGAGAGGTGAATGGCAGTTTCCCCCAGTGCAATAATGCGCCAAAATACCAGGTGAGCGTGGCTTGGCATGGGCTGGAAGCTTAACCATGTCTCACTGTGGCTGGCCAAGAACCTCCCTCACATATCCTGGCTGTCTTCTGAACTGGTCCTAAATACCCACTTGAGGGTTTCTTCACCTTCCCTATAGAAAGCATATGATTCTGTCTTGCAAGGCCTTTCCACCTTCCTTTACTGCTTCCTCAGACTACACCTGTGTATGGTGTTCAGTGCACCTGACCTTCCATTTCTGCACTTCTGTCTCACTTAGTGCAAAGCATGTGGTGACTACTTAGTCACCATGTTGCTTTTTGAAATAAAAGCTGTTCAGGCTGTTGTATCCTTTGAAGTAATGACTTGCCCCACAGCAAGGTGAATGCCTGTGGTATTTTATCCCTTTGTTGTATGGCAATGCAAGCACAGGGTAGTGCTTAGGTAAGAGTCTTCCTGCAAAAACCTGCATCAGTGCTGACTGAGTGCTGCTTGTTTGCTCGCTGGCAGCATTCCCATAGGTGACATCCCTTGGTTAGGATGCTGGGATGTGATGTTCAGATAATTTCACATTATTAAACAGCAAGTGCCATTCCACCTATAGAAGTGTTTATCTTTGTTCTGGCTGCTGACAACTACATTTTGACTGTTGGATTTCGTCACATTACCAACTTAAGCTGCATGCATTGTAATTTCTATCTCATAATGCTGTGGCTTTGTACGAGTATTGCCTAATGTTTCAAATTGGATGAAGTTTTGTGTAGTAACTTGTATCTGATGTTCCTGAATTTCATGTAAGTGTTCACTGCCAAGCACTTAATGCTGTCTGAAGGTTATACCTGCTGTTTGGGGAATAATATCCAAAACTAGTGTAATTAAAGAGATTTAGATCTCTTTTCCGCTTGCATGTTCCCTAGCATGCAAACTGGGTTGGCACTTTTCAGACTAGGCCATTTGTGGTTGCTTTCTGCTGTACTTGTCTAGATCTTTCTGCAGCAACAGGGTGAGGAAGGGTTTTGAAGCCAAGAGTCCCTGGCTTGTGTGGGAACTCAAGGGTGAACACAATCGCTGCTTTCTCTCAAAATTTGTGATCCTTTGGAGTTTTTTGTTATTAAGGCATGTGCAGCGATCTGCTCATAGAAAAGATGCTTAAATGAGTTTGTTAGTATTGGTGAGAAGAAAAATGTGTTGGCTGGAAGAAATCCCCAGCATCAAGGCTGGCGGGTGAGGAACAGAAGTTTGCACAGTGTCCTGCTGTGCTTGCTGCTGGTGTCTGGGACTTCTGTTTATGCCTAGAATAGTGCATACCAGATAAATGCAGGGAGCATTGTGCATGCTTAGATCCGAGTCTCTTGCTGTGTTCAGTGTTTGTTTCACTTGTGTGTATGTATGTATTTCCTGGTGCCTTGGTGAGGTGATAAGCACCTGCATAGTAGTGTATTCTGGTATGTTTTGTATGTGGCACTTACCTTTCTAATATGAGTTAATTGTCTTTAAAATTGCTCTTCATGGAGCAATTGCTCGGCTACAGCAACAGTTAAATACAGAGTTCAGGTAACTTAGAGGCCATTGCAAAGTTTCTAAACCTCTGCAGCATTCTAAAGCACATGATATGTAGCATACTCACTCTGCTCTCACAAGGTTCATACAAGAAGGGTTATGTTTATTGTCATGTAGGTGGGTGCTTATGTACAGGTTGCCTGCTGGAAATGGGCAGCAGCGGTTCTTGGAATCCTAGTGCATTTGAGCAAAATGGAGAAATTCCTGTCCTAAAAGTAGTGCAATCATGAGGAACACGAAAGCCTTCCTCTAAAATTACCTGTTGCATTATACATGGCTTATGCTTTATTTTTGTATCTCTACTTGAATATGCTGACAATATGTTTTAATCCCTCTCCTTCTATCTCTGTTTCCAGATAGGTGAAAGGATCCGAGTTATCCTGGACATGGAAGACAAAACATTAGCTTTTGAGAGGGGCTATGAGTTCTTGGGAGTTGCCTTCAGAGGACTGCCAAAAGTTTGTTTGTATCCAGCAGTGTCTGCTGTGTACGGTAACACAGAAGTGACTTTGGTCTACCTGGGAAAACCTCTGGATGGATGATGTGGATTGTTTCGTTGGGACATTGAGGTGTGGATGGTTGGGAGGAGAAATCTGCATGTTGGTTAGAGGGAAACATGTATTAAAGGAAAACCAAAAAAGTGTGGGTGTGTGTCCAAGAACCATCAAGGGGATCACATGGAGCTTTGAAATGGAGGACCAGCCATACTTCAGGAATTGTGTTCCATTTCCTCTTTCTACCAGGCCAGAAAAATCCTCAGGGTTGCAGTTGGTTTAGTGGGAAGCTCACATGTGCATTTTGCAACAGATTTCATTGCTAAGATGGCAGTGTGTGACCTTATGTATTTAAGAAAGGATTTGATACGAAAGTGCTTGAGGAAATTAACCTGAGATTTGTAAGTAGCGTGTTTTGTGAAAGACTCCCATTTTAAAACTGCTTGTTCCTTCCCTCCCCTCCTTTGGGCCAGCGTGGGTACTGGAGGAGAGCAAGTCTGGTTGGGTTTTATTTACAGTTTTTAACATACTGAGAAGCATGGTCTGTCTGGACTGCCCTTCTCCAGTATAATGATACAAAATGTGTGCAGCTATTTTTAAGTGTATTTTAAGGGTTGTATATATAGAACACACTGAAAAGAACAGTTAAAGGGTTTGCTTTATTCTAACTGGGACATAATTTCTTCAAGGGAACCCCCCTCCCCCCCTACTGCGTGGCATCAGAAAATATACCTCAGACAGGTATATAACATTCATGTAAGTGTATTTCTTTTGTTGTATGGTAAAGCATTTTTGGATGCTCTTGTGGAGTACGGTGCTACATTGGGTCATTTTCTGTGACAGTTTCCATAGCTTTAGCAACAGTTTTGTTCCCTGTAGAAAACACAAAACATTTTCTCCACTAGTTTCTTTTGCCAAAATTTGCAGTCCCTTTAGGAGAGGAAACCACAATGAGCTTGTCATCCTTTCGCATCAATACACTAACTTACAGAAGCATTCTTACACTTCCTAATCACTGTTGTGAAATGTTTCAAAGTAATGAGGAAGGAGCATTGCATTTCTGAATTCAGACCTTGTTTTCAGCTTAAATGGCTTTATAAGGCTTTAAGACTTGGCTGAACTTTTCTTTAATGTACCCCAGTACCCGAGTATTCACCTGCCCGTTTTCAGTCAGGACGAGTAGAACTCTCACCAACCCTGCGATGGGGTTCTGGATCAGGTTCAGTGTTTGGACTTTTCACTTGCACTGGTTTTCAGTGTTCAAACCCCTCTGTGTGTTGGGGTGGCTGTGAAGCTGAGGGGTGCAGTATGGAGGGACTTCTGGTGACACCGCTCTCCTCTGAGGTTGAAAGGTCTGGCTAGCTCTTGGCTCGTGTTGGTGTTTCCCAGAGCTGTCTGAACTATTTCAGAGTTGGGCATGCTTTTCAGAGAGGGAGAAGGAAATGTTTATACAACTTCTTGCTTTATTTGTGCTAGAGAATGTGAATTGCTTCGTATCAGACACTGGCAATTCTCTGAGCATGGAAGAGAGAGGAATTCCTCTTAGGCTGTTGCTCGTTCCCCCCCCGCCTTCCCCCTGCCATTACTCGAGTAATGTGAGGAGAGCGGTGCAGGCAGGTGAGTGTTCTACTCCCGATGAGCTATCCTTGGAGTGCTTTTTACCTGGTAGATAACCAAGGTCTGCACTGGAATAGACTATGTATGACATTACCATTTGAAAGGATTTAAAAGTATTTATTTGTTTCCTGTGTTGTTTATTGCTTAAAGGCAATATCAAGGTCTGTTCTTCTTGGCTGTGTTAAAGAAACAAAATATGCAGTGAGAAATGATGTGGTGCTGAGAACAACCGAATAAATGATGTGGCACGGGCATATGAGAACCTTTTGGAAAAATGTGTTACAAGCATTGATTGTACTGGACTGTAGATTAGGTACCTGCATAGCAGAACCATGGGGCACAAAGTAGGGGAAAAAAGAAACAAAGGCCTGTCCTATTTCAGAAAATAAAGTTGTCCCTCAGATGGATGTATTCTCAGTGCAGTCCTGAAAGATGTGACCTCTGTGCTTGTTCATGAATCCAATTAGATGCAAGTAAACCCTGAGAACTTCTGAGGAGTTTTATTCACAAATTAAGATTGATTTCCATTCTTCAGACTGCATCTTGCCCTAGAAATAACTTCCCTCTAAATTAGAAATGCTAAAAGTTGAACATTCCTTAAGGGTGGGTTTGGGGGGACTCACTTATGTAAGATTATAACTTATTCCTGGAGACCAGTGCTGGCTGTACAAAATATTAAAATAAACTCTGCTATAATTCAGAAGGGTATGTCAGTGTGGACTGCTGTAATGACATCTGTGGTGTGCTGGTTCAGTGCGCCAAGAAGATGGAGTTGTTGGGACTGTGTCATGTGCTGCATGACTGCTTGAAAAGAGAGAATCTGATGAGTGGTTAACAAGGACTTGAAAACTGGGAGATCTAACAGCTGTGCTTGGGAAATGGCAATAGGGATGTTTGCACGTGACAGTGTGGGAAAAGGCTTTCCTGACTGCTGGAGGTCTCTTGATTCAAATTGAGGTGATGTGCTCGCGGCTGCAAGGTGCCTCCTTCCCAGGTCAGCTTCTTGCCTTCTGTTTCTTTAGCTTTCTGTAGGGAAGTTCAATATTTCATGGTGCTTTTAGGGATAAGTAGGGGATTTTAGGAAGAAGTAGGGGACTCTTGTGGTTGTGAAATCCTAGGCATTTGTCCAAGCTCTCTGCATCAAGAATCCAAGATCTCTGCATCACACCTCTGTGAGCTTCTTCAGCAGCAAAGAGGTTTGATGCTGTCTTGCCAAAAATGCAGATTCACTTTTTCTAGCCCGAGGTGCTTCAAAGTCAGCTAAACAGCTGTTTGAAGTATTTCCCCTACCCTGACTAGTGATTGAACTTTGGTGAGGAGTTCATGGCTCCAATAACAGAAATCAGTCAGATTCACAGGTATGGGCTTCAGAATCCTGCAGGCTATGCAGAATTTTTTTGTAAGTGAGCATTTTGTCTCTCTTTTGAATAAAGCTCAGAGTTTCTCTAGTTTAAGTGTGAAATCTGTTGGGAGCTTAACAGTTGGTCATCTGATCTCATCACGTTTCTATGTGTTAAGAAGCAAAGAGCTCGGTATGGCCATTTATTTTGCAATAGAGTTTGTTCTTGGGTTTGGTGGTGGCTTGTGTTGGCCTGAAGTCAGAATTTGTGCGACTTCTTTGTCCATAAGAGGACAGAGGAGTTGCTGAAACAAATGTAATAAATCAAGATAGCATGGAAAACTGACCCTGGTAGGGATATTTCCTTGAAAATGTTTTTCTCTCTACTTACAATGCAGTGGAGAGTACATGTTTCTGGGAGTCCTGCATGTGCCTTCTACTAGCAAGCACCATTTGGTTTTGTTACTTTTGGCTGTGTTTCAGGTGACAAAACTAGCCAGGAGCAGATGGCCTTGATCCTGTGGGCTGAACTTCTGCCTTGGATGTGGCTGTACTCTGCCTGCCCCTGAATCCAATAGCGAGCTGGAGCATATTAGCTTTTCTCTCTGGTTATCAGTGATCCACATTTTTAAATTTCCGTAACACATGGGAGTGTTTTCCAGATGGCTCCTTCTATTTTATTTTTTTATCTTCCATTTTCACTGGGATGATCAATTAAAATAATGCTTGGCCTGATAATAGTTTGATCGTATGAAACTTACTTTCTCTAAGTATTTGAGAGGTAACCAGCCCTTAGTGATTCCTGAACCTCTATTTCAATACTGATATTTCAGTTCTAGCTGAATCTTTACGTGGTATAACTAGCTCTGGGTGCTGGCAGGAACACAGCTAGAAGTGCTGTATGTGCTGCCGTTCTCCAGAACAGCGCTTGTTCTTGCACAATAAAGATAACTTGGTGACATCTGTAGCCAGAAAGTGGCATTACTGAAATTTGCTCTAGGATCCTTTCCACATAGACGAAACAGGGTTTTTGAACGGTTAGGAGTGTAACACATTGGATTTCTCTAACTGATAGTAGCCCACCTCATACTAAGGAATAATTCAGTTGACAGTTAGTTAAGCGGTAAATGTATACAGCAGCCTGTTCCTGCAGTGATGCTGAACACACTAATTTATACTTCAGGCAGCTTTTCTTCACACTGCTGTGTGATGCCGTGCATGTTGTGGGACTTCTGAATGAATTCTCACACCTCCCCACGAGAGGGCAAAGTTAACAGCGCTGTGAGAAACCAGACTTTGAATTTCCAAATTGTGGAGCAAAGTAAATGTTTCATGTGGAACCTTCTCTGTTAGCACTTGCTTCCTGTCCTCTTAAATAAACCAAAACAAACTAAAATATCCTCAACAAAACAGGATTGTTGAGAGGTGGATAATGGGCATAGAATTTTAAAAATATATTTCTTCATTTGAAACTGGATCCTGAAATTAGGCTGAGCAAAACTTTGCATTTCAGGAAAGTGTTTTCAGTGACAGCAAATTGAGCTGTGACTCTGAGATCACCTGAAAAGATAGAAAGGAATTTGAAAGGCTCAAGCAAACTGTCACTTGCTGTTCCAAGGTCTGCTTCTTCGTAGACTTGCTTTTCTTCCTCTCAGGCACCAGGAAACAGCGATATTATCAAAAGATTATTTAAAACATTTCAAAAGAAATCCATTGCAGTTGGGAAAAAAAGCCCAAAATCATTGAAAAGGGATTTTAAAATAAAACTAATTGTATATTACAAGTGTTGTTTATTCTTCTGCAATTTTACCAGCTCAGGAACTAAGGGTGTCTTTCCTTCCATGCCTGCACTTGCAGATGTGCTGTGAGCTCGCTGGAGTTGTTTCATGTTTGCTTGAGTTATTTTGTTGTCTTAATCCTAAAACCTGCTGGCGATGTTTGAGTGCGGGTGAGTATGACAGTGTAACCTTGCCTGTTCTTGTCTTTCTGTAGCCTCTGACCTTCCTGTGAGCTCCTAGTCTCTGCAGCTTAAACCTCCATAGTTTTATCCAGAGACAGCAGGAGCGTTTCCATGTGTGTAAATAAGTGGCTATCCTGGGACACGCAACCTACAGTGTTTTATTGCCCAGGATGGGCACTATCACCCCAAATGTTTTATTGTATATTTTGCAAAGTAATTTTATTTAAATTATTTTAAATTTTATTGTCCTTTCTTGAACTTCTGACTTCAGGCTGTGAATGTGCCTTTCCTTGTACAATGCATCTTTAGAGGCATGCTCCAAAGCCAGGGACACGTGTCAAAACAGCTGGTTTGCAACAGTGTGTAGGCTACAGCTACAAAATGCCATTCTCTACAAACATTCAAGCTTGGTTATTTATGGGCAGCAAGACACACTGGCATCCTGTGTTCCTGATGCCTTTGTTTAAAGCAGTCTGTCAGCTTTGGTTTGCAGCAGGTCAGTTGAAGATCGAGGCAAGACAAAACCTGATCAATAACAGGAAGCACAGACCTTTTTTCAGCCCAAGCAGGTGAGCGTGTGCTGTGAGTATGACT